CGCGCAACGCATTCGGACACGGGCTTGCTACTGTCGCCTGTTTCACGGAAAAAGAAAAATTATTCCGGATTTATTTTGGATTACAGCTTTATTTCGAGCTCGAAGGGAAACGCTTGACATAAACAGGAAGGAGATAAGCAATCCCGGCTTCATATGACAACTTCGATTATAAGTTCAGGTAAGGGATAAAGGATTAGAGAAGAGGGTTAAAAGGCGCTCTTTACGCTGTTGTAGTTGTAGTTGTGATGTATTCTGGCCGCGCATTGTATAAGGTATGGCATAATGTAGTTTTTATTCCTCTAGAAATGTCTGCTTGAAGATGAGCCTGTTGTGAATCGACAAGAGTTTCTCACTTTCTTACAGTACCGGGTTAGGATAGTGCAAATTGCAGTGCATGTGATGATGCCGACACTCGTGCAGACACATTGTAATCACACTTGCAATTGCATACTTTACTCGTCGTGATAGATGTGTTCAACTATGGGTTACCAGGTAGAATATTACAGATTGACTTACCGTGGCTAGCATAATGGTTTTGTTTTGTTAAAATCTACTTGAAACTATGCTGAGATTTATCATAAAGGGCTTAGATGTCCAGTGTGATAATGATGCAATATTAAGTCATTTTTGTGGCCTCTAAGCCAGTTGGCTCTCTGGCAGGGGTGGACAAAGGTTTGACAAATATTTCAGCAAGGTAGAGCCTAAACAGGTTTGTTTACCCAAAAAGGCTGGCTGGCATTTGTTCTTGCTGTGACAAACCAAGCCGAAGTACTGGATGACAGCCATCCGTTCCACTTGCGGTGAAGCCTGTTCATAATCAAGAGTGTCATTTTGCAGGTTAAAGAGTATAGAGTTGCTTATTCCCCCTATGTAGTTAAATTAAGAATATTACATTATTTATGCTTTCGTTCCCTAACTGTCTTTTGATTATACTATAGATAATATAATATTATTTTTTGCCAGCTTACCCAGGAGCCTTTGTCAATCTTTCAGTATATTTTCTATTACCTCAAACTGACATAGTAAAGAGTTGTGGAACACCGACAGGTACACAAGCTAGTGGTGGCTTTTTTGCTAATTTTGTCAGCAAGAGGTAATCTAGTAATTAATGTATTAAAATTACAAGACAAAGTAAGCTGGCACAAGTCAGTGAACCTCTTTCATATTTTGACAAGACAAACTTGGACCAGTTCTTTATCTGACATTTAAACTTGGAGATTGACAAATTCTCTTATGCCAGAATGTTTGAGACGGGGGATTGTTGTGCCAGAGCATAGAAAAGCAAAAAGTTTCACTGCTTGGTGAGAAGCTATAGGGTACCTTGGGTGAAGAAGGATAAAAGCAGGACCTACTTTTCATTATTAAGATCATGGCCACTGCATATATGGTTTGTTAAGACCCCTTGCAACTTCTTATCAAATGAGGAACTAGTCCAAGCTTTTATCATCCCAGAATATGTAGTGGAGGTTTTTCGGCTCTTTGACTTATCATTGAAGGTACTTGCATGAAGGTCCTACCTCACTAGCACTTTTTCCAAGAATATGAACTTTCCGTTTGAAAATGGACTGACCCAATCACACTACTAAGGCTGCACTCGCAGTGCCTGTGTAAACAAACATGAGGTCAGGGGAATCACACGAGCATTCTCATACATACTACATTATTTTAAAGAAATGTGGTTATGTATATTGTATATAGAAATATTCTAGAACAATATCTTGGTTTTGAATTAATATTTTCTATCTAATCTATCAAATGCAAAACATTCTAGATGTTAAGATCGTCCGTACCACAAGATCAAGATGGAAATTAGTAAGACAGAAGCAATCGATACGGTCTTGGTAAGGGAGGCATTCTGTTTGAAGAGGATACAAGCCTCAAATTCAGACAGAAACACAAAAATTGAAGGAAAAAGTTCTAGTGTGATTGGGTTACTTGTTATATAACTTTTGTTTTATATTTGCAACAAGTATATATTTTACTATAGTTATGCCTAAAATTATAATCTTAACAGTTTTCTTCTCTCATCATGTATATGTATGATCAGTATAATTAGCATTTACATATATGATATTGCCATTCTCACAAATATGAACCAGAATTTCTCATATCATTAGATGTGATTAAAAGGAATCTGAGGTTCATTTTCTGCGTAAAGCTGTTTGGTGTTAGGAACTTAACCACTCATCCCATCCAACAGGCTATAGAGGTCCATGAGAAATGGGGTTTTATATTGGGGGAGAGATAAATTGTGTGAGATTTTTACCTCGCCTAAAATGGAAATTTAAGTTATAGATTATTCCACAACTTATTCAAAAGCACAACCATGTGTGCATAGGTCTAGCATCAGTGCGATAATTTTTGTTATTTGTGTCAGCTCTCTCCCAGTCATGGCCCATGGACATTACATTCCAGACTTGTTTGTCATTGGATAAAAATGGTAAAGCCCATTCCTAAATGCCAAATAATGTCTAATCACCTACCAAGAACTTTGTGCTCATGTGGTACGTTTTTCCCATCACCCAAGTTTTCTAGCTGAAATGCTCACAGTGGCAAGTTCGAGTCACCACAGCCGACAGCCAAATTTTTGTATGACTGCATGCTGATATCATGAGGGGTTCATGCCAATTTTTTTCATGAGGTGCTTGGTATTTACAAACCAAAGAGAAGAAATGTAGCATCATGACTATTGATATAACCCAAAAAGTTTTGATGTCATTCCAAAATAACAGTGTAGCAGGAGAGCAAAATTATGTTTTCTTACAAACGAACGACTGAGTAGCCATGCAGTTAACTGTTTAGTACTTTCAGACTTAAGCAGATATTAGGTATCTGAATATCAGGTTCTCTTAGTGTAATGTATAGAGTGCAGAAATAGTATTGGCTTGAGTTAGAGAAAAGTTGTTGCAGATTTGATTTCAAAATATGCTTATGAATAATCATGACTCATACACGGCAAAATTATATGATTTGTAAACCTACATCTCTGACTTTTATCAAAGATCATCTCCCAGTAATTCCTTGAAAAACTTGCTGCTAGACCTAACTTGGTATTGTAGATACTTAAACCTCTAAATATTTTAAAGTGTAATCCTTGAGATTCACTGTATGATGCAAAAGATGTTTTCTCATAGATTAATGCCATGCAACAATATCAGTTGTCTACCAGGGGCCAAATAACATATGACTGCAACGCATTTATCAGAAGTCATTTACCATTGCATGTACCAGTGATCGCAAAGTGGGATTCACGAAGGAATGGTAATCTGCATCGACTGAGTTATAATCATAGATCAACTCATTCTAAGGGTTGCCATAGGGCTCTAGTAAAGCAATTTCACCAATCAACAAGCACCATACATAATCCTTTAGGTTCCTTTGGTTAATCACGTAGTATGTAAACAGAACTACACACAGCAAGATTTTAAAAATCATTGTCACAGCTAAAACAGTAATTTAGCATATATTGAAAACAAATTATTCAGTCTTATTCCTATAATAACACAAACACACATATGCACATGTATTAACACATACACACATATTAAAAAACACACACACACACACACACACACACACACACACACACACACACACACACACACACACACACACACACACACACACACACACACACACACACTATTATTAATGTGATAATGTGTTGGAAAATCAATTTAATATGCTTAATTTCTTGCTAATAATTCTCCTTTACCATGATCAATACATACATATGAGTACATACTGGTAAAGAGGCTGCCACATTATTAGCTTGTGTAATAATTTTGTATTCATGTATTCTCCCTCCTCTCCATTTATTAACCACATGCCACGGGGGATGGCATATGCGTACATGCAGTGCCCACTGTGTTTTTAATTTAGTAATTGTTTATACATATTGATGACTCCACAAGTACTTGGTCACAAATGAGCCAGTTACAAGAAGTACTTGTCTCCTCTGTTTACCATTTTCCTTGATTGTTAGTAACAATATAGTAATTATAATGTTTATAACAAAAATAACTGTCAGTATTGTTAGCATTAGTAAAAAAAAGCATTTATCCCACAAACTTCAGGAAAGGTGAAATCAAGTGAGGTCATAAGGTCTACTAATTGACTCCTTTATGGATAAACACTGGCAGAGCCATATACATGTAGACATTTCACAGAACAAGACTACAGTGAACACATTTTCCCAGCGGCATTTGGTTAAAATATTCATGAGGATCTGGGATGCATTGCCATGTTAGCAAGGTCACAAATTCTTGCAACAGAAAGTCATCAGTTGAAAATGCATTAGTCAGGTAATATGTAGCAGTGTTAAATTAAATGAATTCAGAACAGAGAATGTAATTATTCAAGTTTTCAATTTTATGTAAATTTAGATTCAAAGAAAATCACCAGCTTTTACATCAGTATACTTAAAACACACCTGTATAGGGATAATGTATCCATCAAATTTTAGGCTATATAGGTCATAGGTACACAATCCTCTTCATCTCATGAATGTAGACATTTCAGATAAGTCCAGCAGTTCTTCAGGTGTGCCATTACTTGAAAAATAAGGTAATTCCACTCAATAACAACAGGTGAATCTTTCATTAAAGTCAGTTAAAGACAACCTTGCCTTTATTGTATATAGCTATTGGTAATTGCCCAGCCTGCATCATGGCATTCAAGACCTTATCCTAGTTATCAGGACTTAAAATCATGAAGTTAGGAGGTGTTTGCAGTACCAGTGAAATGCTCTTAAATACTGGCCCAGTTAAACAGGTAGTGAAAAAGTAGATCTTATTTCCTTTACTGCTAAGTATTAAACTGCCCTCCTTGAACCCAGGGAGATGTCCGCAGACCAGTTTGAGAGTTTCCATATTCTTCATAGCCGTGTTAATAAATACAAACTCATATTTCCCCTGAAGTCTTATTTGATTTGTTTTGCTTATATGAGAGGATTCCACATTGGTTATTTATGTGAGGACAAAATAGATTGTATTTATGAA